GTAAAAAATTATTTTAATGCCTTATCAGCTGTCAACTCAATTAGGTTTTGAAAGCAAAGGATTAGAAACTACTTGACTTGCAAAAGGATTTGCTATCTGTCATTCTCGATTTCTGGGATGTTTTCTGGAGAGGCTGCCCTCCGCTCAGTTTGTCAAGGGATTGTCATTCAGCCATGATTCTCTGGCCCATTATTTAATCAAATGCGTTCTGAGGGGGTTGGGAACACTGAAATGTTAATTTCATTGCTTTCTTTGGGCCAATTTAACATTTTTTTATAACATGCTTTTATTATACCATTATTTTAAACGTATTTTCATTGAAACCTGGGAGTTGCAGATTCAGTTCATTCTATTTATAGTAAATGTCCTTCATGTAACCTAATCCTCCTTGTCAAACCAGTGAACCAAATTAGAAACATTTTCTGTTGGAAAAAGTCTGACCTACTTTTTCAATCGAAATAAGTGTTGGCACGCTTTTTCAGAGATACTAAAAGAGAAAACCACTGAAAAATAAATTCTAGACCACATAAATTACTGAAAGCAATGAAGTCATGCCTTAAAACATAGAGATCTAATATAATTAATTGACCAACTTTATAATATGACATTGAAAAAAAATGAGTCTCCGTGCTGCCTCCCTTTCTGGTAACATTTAAAAAAATTATTTATTAAATCATAACTGTGTACATTAATGCATTTATGGGGTACAATGTGCTGATTTGATACAATGTGGAATGCTTACATCTAACTGATTAACATTTTAATGGACAGGCAGGTTGATGTCCAGGCTGTGCACGGAGTGGGGACGTGTGCGTAGGAGTTGACTGAACATTACTCCCAGGGGCTAAACACTAAATAAAAATCAAGCCTGACAATCATTTAAAAACCCTCCCCCATTAATCTGTTAAGCATCTTACTCAAAGTTTTCTTTGTGTCTAATGAAGGAAAGGTACATATTGCTAAAAACTAGTAAGTGTGGCAGCTGGCTCAGTGTGCTGGTGTCTGCAGTATTCAGAGTACTCAACTCATCTATAGAAAAGAGAGATGAGTAGATAGGCAAGTGGCCACAGGACCCTGACTGCCGAGGAGCTGGCTGGAGAGGAGGCCACGGCTGGGTCAGAGAGGTCCTCTGTTCATGAACAGTTGACCATCAGGAGGTCAGACAAATACCCTCTATGACGGCCTTACTGCTTTCTGCCTGGACCTAGCAGGTAAAGGCCTAATGCATTTAATCCGGTACAGTAAGCAGAATTCTCAGCTGAGTCCATTTCAACATCTCACTAGCTCCCCTATTTACAGATTTTATAAAGAGTAACATAAGATCTCTGACAAGTTCACCCTACTTGATTTTTCTTATTAACTTTCTATCTTACTGTTTTGATTTTAAAAAAGGATGTTTATGTCTCTGCTCCTGAAAGATAAAAACCTTAAACACAGCCTCCCATTCTGTGGCCTTGCTGATGTCACACCAGGCTCACGCCTGACACCACCCAGACTGTGAGTTCCGGTGGTGAGGGGCATGAGTTCTCTTTCACTTTGACTTCAGCTCCTTAAAAGTCACCACACGGTGAGCAATCTTCTGATTGTTTTTACTTCATAAAGCTTTTGTACAACTTTCTAAATTTTGTATCTAAATTCCAGCATCTCACCCAAACTGCCTTCCATGTGGCTGCGTGGAGAAGCTGTGAGATGCCGCAGGCCTGGGAGTTGTTCTTTAATTAATTCAGAACATTTTTACACAATGTCTGTGGCACCTCAGGCTCGTGCCAGGGGAACAGCCACGAACAGACCAATGTCTCCCACCCATAGTATCTGCAGTTCATAGGAGGACAAACAAGTAAAGACAAGTTTCCTTAGGTGTTAGAAAGAAAAATCAAGCAGGGTGAATGGTAACAGAAGATTCAGCCAATAATGAATCCCTAGGCTCGGGGCCCATAGCTCAGTGGGTAGGCTGCCGGCTGGTGGGTTCAAACCTGGCCTGGGCCTGCCAAACAACGACAACAAC